TTAGTAGGTAAAGTTTCTTTAGTATAATTCTACCTTTTTTTTTGGTTTGTTTTTGAGTTGGAGTCTCACTCTGTCGCCCAGGCTGGAGTGCAGTGGCACACTCATAGCCACTCCAGTGTCGACCTGCTGGTCTCCAGCGATCCTTCTGCCTCAGCCTTCCAAGTAGTCGGATCTACAGGTGTGAGTTACCACACCGGGCTAATTTTTTTGATTTATTGTAGAGATGAGGTCTCGCCAAGTTGCCCAGGCTGGTCTCAAACCCACAGCTCAGGCAATCCACTCGCCTCGGCCCCCAAAGTACTGGGATTGCAGGTTGAGCCACTGAGCCCAGCCTCTACCTTCTTTCAATAGCCTTTTTTAAAGTTCCCATGTCCTTACCTATCTGTTCATTAAACCTTCCAAAGTTATAGTAACAATGGTTTGCAAACTTTGGCTTACAATTTACATCCTAGATGCCAGCACCAAAGAGGATGTGAGGGGCGATTTGGTGTTGAGTTCTGGGGGAAAGAACTACTACAGATAATGAAAAAACAGAGAAAACAGACTTCTCAAATACACCAGTAACTGTCACAGGCAGTATGGATTACAGAGTCATGTAACATTTACATATTAGGACACAGAATGAATCGAATGTGCAAACAAAATAGCACTACGTTTTTTTTCATTGATCTTCTACCTTCAGCTTTCTAGAGCTGAATGTTGGCTATTCTTGACAAGTTCTTGTTTTTATTATTTATTTGTTTGTTTCCTTATTTATTTCTGAGTCAGGGTCTCACTCTGTCACCTAGGCTAGAGTCACGTCTCACAGCAGGCTCGAACTCCTGGACTCAGGCAATCCTTCCACCTCAGCCGCTCGAATAGCTGGGACTATGGGCACGCACCACCATGCTCGCCTAATTTTTTTATTTTTTGTAGAGAGAAGGTCTTGCTATGTTGTCCAGGCTGATCTTGAACTGGTCTCAATTTGATTCTCCTGCCTTGATCTTCCAAAGTGCTAGGATTATAGATGTGAGCCATGGTGCCCTGTTAGCAACTTTTTTTTTTTTTTGAGTCGGAGTCTCACTCTGTTGCCCAGCCTGGAGTGCAATGGCACACTCCCGGTCACTGCACCCTCGACCTGCAGGGGTCCAGAGATCCTTCTACCTCAGCCTTCCAAGTAGCTGGAACTACAGGCATGCGCTACCACATCCAGCTAATTTTTTATTAATCGTAGAGACGAGGTCTCGCCAAGTTGTCCAGGCTGGTCTCAAACACCTGGGCTCAGGCAATCCACTCACCTTGGCCTCCCAAAGTGCTGGGATTACAGGCTGAGCCACCAAGCCCGGTCGCAACTTTTTTAAAACATAAATTTATTTTCATTGGTTCACACCAACTCTCTCTGCTAATATACCTGGATGATTTTACCCGACCCCAACTTTTTATCCTCCTCTAAAACAGTATTTCCCAATCTACCCTCACTAATAAGAACACCTATTATGTTGCCCCATGGATCCCTCATTTTGATTTTGCAACTGTATTTATTGAATAATTTTTATATTTTTAATTGTACACTCAAAAATCATAATTAGATTAAAGAACCAGGACTTCGTTGATAAAATTCAAGCCAGAAACAAACAAACAAAAAAAAGTCTTTTTTTTTTTTGAGTTAGAGTCTCATTCTGTCGCCCAGACTGGC